ATCATCGTTCACAGCATCCTCGTCATCATCATTATCATCATCATCATCATCATCATCATCATCAGCATCATCATCATCTCATCATCATCATCAGAATGTTCAAGGTAACCAGCATTAATACCATCATCATCGCCATCATCATCGTCTCCGTCGTCGCCGTCGTCGTTGTCGACACCGTCATCATCATACCACTCATCATCACCATTACCGTCATTACCACAACCATCATAATCATTAACATCATCATCGGCATTATCAACACCATCATCGTCAACATCAGTATCATCATCACCAACGTCATCATGGACATAATCATCTTCATCACCATCACCTTCATCACCCCAGCATCATCATCAGTGTCACCATCACCAGTTTCATCAATATCATTTGCATCGTTATCATCATTCGCATTCTTCATCGTAGTCGGCATCGATGCCATCATCAACGTCGTCGCCATCCCCTACCATCGTCGTCAGAATCGCGCTGACCATCATGAGCACCTTGGGGGAAATTCCTCGTCGCCCTCCTACGTCTCGTCTGCCTCGTTGCTCATCCCCTCTTTCTCCTCATTCTCCCCATCCTCTCCCAGACACTGTCGTGAATGGGTACCTCCCGAGGAGTTTGTCTAGCAGATGGTCTGACTTGCCCGCACTCGGCAAAACCTGGTTGTTCCAGCGTTGAGCTTGCCCCCCTCCTATGTGTCCTCTCTCCCCCTCCGATGCTGAAGGCGATTATGGGGATGGCGACTACGGGGGTGGTGATGCCGATGCCAACTATGATGATTATATTGATGATGGTGACGATGATGATGGTGATGATGAGGTTGACGGTGCCGATGATTAGCATGATGTTGGTGATCACGTTGATGCTGCTGGTTTGGATGGTGAGGGTGGCGGGGTTGATGATGGTGGTTGATTATGCTGCTGATGATGATGCTGATGAAGATGAAGAAGATGACGACGATGATGATGATGATGCTGAGGATGATGATGATGCTGATGATGATGATGATGATGATGGTAAGGCAACGGCGAGCATGGCGAGAACTCGCCAAACAAACGTTTGACAAACGTTTGGCAAACGTTTGACACGCGTTTGGCAAGCGTGTGACAAACGTTTTTGCAAACGTTTGACAAACGTTTGACAAACGTTTGACAACTGTTTCTGCAAACGTTTGACAAACGTTTGACAAACGTTTGACAAACGTTTGACAAACGTTTTTGCAAACGTTTGACAAACGTTTGACAAACGTTTGACAACTGTTTCTGCAAACGTTTTTCAAACGTTTGACAAACGTTTGACCAACGTTTGACACGCGTTTTTGCAAACGTTTGACAAATGTTTGACAAACGTTTGGCACACGGTTTGGCAAACATTTGACAAATGTTTGGCAACCGTTTGGCACACGTTTTTGCAAACGCTTGACAAATGTTTGGCAAATGGTTGACAAACGTTTGTCGAACGTTTTGTCTGTATATCGTGTTGGTATAGTTGGGTTCCCCAGATTGTGAAAACAAGCGTTTGACCTATAACAACGGGCGAAGGCGATGATTGCGCTGACATGTTTTCCACTCGCATCTGACAGTGCAGGGGCGAACAGTGCGCCTGAATGCGACATCCCGTCGCAACTCGTGGAACCTGTCGGCGAAGAGGGAACAAGGCACGCGATGTAGAACGATGCCGATGCTGATAAGATTGGTGATGACGGGGACGGGGGAAAGGAGGGCGAAGGACGGGCGAACTCCATCGCCGACAAAGGCGAATGGCACGTTGCTTGCAACCTAGTGCGCAGGGCGCACAATCTCGAAATCCGCCTTCCCCTCATGCTAGGAGGGCCAGGATCTCGTAGGCTGTTGACTGGCATAACCTCCTTCGTATTCTTCTCTCTTCATCCTCCGTACCCATGCTCCCCGTGCCCCCCTACTGTTCGCATGCCTCCCCATCCAGTCTCGAGCAAAGCGCGCGCCCGTCCTCCTCATCACCACTCTCATGCTATAGCTCTTCCTCCTCCGTTTCCATTCTGACCCCGTTTCGTCCCAAACCACGGTCATAGCCAACGCCCCTGTGCGAAACTCACCGCCCACCAAGACCACCCAACCCCCACCCCGAAGGTCACAGTTCGCCACCCAGTTGGGGGAGGGGGGTGGGCGTCGGGGCACATTGAAAAACAACCGCATGTGGACCCTGTACCCCCCCCTTCCAAGCATATTTTTGGGTCTTCGTGTTAGGTTGGGGTTGCCTGGTAGGTCGCCAGGAACTGCCGCGATGTCCTTGCGGGCCACGATGGGAAAGCAGATCGCGACAGACAAGGGGGGAGGTAGTGGAATGGGGAGTGGGCAACGACGCCAGACCATTCGAACGGTGCCCTGAAAGCCCCCCCCCCCGCAACGGGCCACGAGGGGGCCACAAGGCGCGAGCGGACAGTCGGCGGAGCCAGCGGTATACCTTCCTATGCGCCACCGTTCGCAAAGTTTTCGCGACAGGCCTAGTATCGGGGATCCCATCATCGTTGTAGAAGCGATCTTTGTAATCTGGCGCATAAAATCCTCGCACATGTAGCACCAGAACCAGCGCGGGTTCATGTGTGATGCGCCCTCAGCGATGTGCCACCACATGTGGTGTTTGTTCACAATGCTCCATTTCTTTTTGTTCTCTGTATTAACTGCGTAGGAGGAATGAAAATGATGCCAAATCAATGCTGACTCAACTGATGTTTTTAGATGATCTGCTGTTTCCCTGCTCGTGTACATTCCAGAAGAATCCATGTAGTCGTAGTATTTGCACAAATTCTCTACCATCAATGAGCGCATCGCCTTGCGATCGCTGCCATCCTCATATTCGAGGCAGAGCTTGTAAAGAACGGGCGCGAGCCATCTTTGTTCTGCAGCTTTAACGGATTTTTTCATCACGGGGTAGTCTGCGTGCGGGCTTTTGGTGTCGGCGATAAAGAATTTCAGCCCGAAGTGCGTGATCCTGTGTGGAATCTTGAGTTCATCGTACAATTCGACAATTCGCCGCCACATTATCTCACAGGCTTTCGTGGCGGGCGGGGGGAGCTGCTCATATATGATCTCCTTCAAGACGTTACCTAACATATGGCTCGTGATCCCGAGATCTACACAATGCATACTGTCTAAACTGATGGAGTCGACCGTGACTCCAAAAACTGAAAAGACGGGATGCGTGAACGGGAAGGGCTCGCGACGTCGGAAGCGCATCCAATGCCTGGGGTAGCTGTCCTGCCGATGATCCTCAAAACGCGCGTTGGCACCAACGTGTTTTTGCCTTATGCAGCCCTCCAACACGACGCAGGCGATGTAATGATCTACGTGTGGAGCTGAGTGGTGTAAACACACATTGGGCTAACGCATGTCCTGAGGAGCATCGATCCTGGCTGGGGCGTTGCCGCGCGGCCCAGAGGGCACGCATGTGTAGGGGGGCGGACAGGGCGGGGACGAGCACAAGGAGAGGGCGAGAATAGCATGGACATCGATGCTCCGTAGGGGACGGTGGGGGGAGTCAGAGGGTGGAAGGGCGGGGGAGTGGTAGGTGGTCTGTTCCAGAACAGACGGTGGGCGGGGCGGGCGGAATAGGCGGGGCAGGAGCGCGACAACAATGCGGGAAACGAAGGTATGGAGAGCGGGGGGGAACAGGATTAGGGGGAGGAGTGTGGATAGGAAGCGAGGCAAGAGAAAAGAAGGGGAGGAGTGGAATGGGGGGGGCAGAAGCAGGGGGAGTGGCAGTATGAACAGGCTCAGTGGGGCATCCCTGCGCGGGGTCAGGGCTAGGGGATTAGGGGGGTGAGTGGGCTTAGATATAGACGTTGCTCACTGGGCGCGCGCGGTAATGCCTCGAACGTCTTACACGCGCATTTCCTTGACGAAATTGTTCCACGGCAGCGTCGTGCGGTTGGCTTCGCAGAGGAAACACATCTCATGCGCATTCGGGTGAGGGCTGCCGAGATGCTGGCTAAAAAACTCCATGTCGCCTGGCGGCGTTGGTCGCAGTCCGGAACGCGCACGCACTCACTGCCCCTAGGTTTTAACTGGCTTTCCAAAAAAGAGGCCAGGTTGGAAATCAGAGCTGCATTGGTAAATCGGAGCGTTTCGAACTGCGACCACAGCCTAAAATCGCGTACAGGAACGCGCGATATGGGAGGTCTCGGCTGCACAAATACTGACCAGCCTGATCCCGATGGCGAGAACCCTCTGGGAACGGTCGGCCGAGCCAGTCCGCTGCAGCCGCTGTTCGCTGCCCCATGCTCTGATATGATGTTCCCGCATGTGGTCCCCCACATTGCACCCCCCTCGCCCCCGCTTGATTCGCCGCTCTTTCCAGTGCCCCGCAATCCCCCCTCCATTCGGACTTTCGTCAAAAAATCTCAATACCCCTTCGAGCATGCGGAATGGCGGAGCCCCTGCATCTCTGGTCGGGAATTTCCCGCTTGCCAAAGAATTCAGAGACCATGCTATGACGCGCCATATTTCGAGCCATGTGTCGAAACCATCATGCTGCTGCTTCAAGGTAGTTGAGTAGGGCCAGCCCGCGATGAGGAAACTTAATGCCCGAGTCGACCCTAGAGCCAACAAGCTTGTGAACGAGACAGTCATGAGGGAATCGTTGTTCTGCATTTCTGCACCATCTCCGTGTATCCGAAGCGGGATGCAACACCGAGAGTAGTTTGGAACCCGCCAAACGGGGTGATTCTTCATCCTAGGGTCGTCCCTTGAAGCGCCACCCCAAAACTCTTCCATTGAATCAAGGCCCATCATCTCCCTAAACTCGTCAGGATGCGATCGAAACAGAGCAGAGAACATCTCGTGCGGAAGTAAAATGCAGCACGGTGATTCAATTATCTGTAATGTTTTCGGGCGGCGGCAATGAACGTCAAACTCTTCAGGTTCTGGAAACGGGTTCCCGCGTAGGTATTTCTTAGTTAATTGTTGATGCACGTTTGAAGGACACCTCCCCCAGGATCCCATTGATGCTAGCTCCCTCACCTCGCTGTAAGATGCCAGGCCGTCCTTATACGCCGCGAGGGCACATCTCTGAACTTCTGCGCCGTAGAGTTTGCCCCACGACCATTCCCTCAACAGCATAGAAGCGAACACTGAAAATTCAGGGCGGCCCCGCCCATCGACATCCTCGCGGGCGCTAGTTTCAGACTCCTCGGAGTCAGGGGGCGGATCGGGATCGAGGCGTCTCTTCGTGCACCGCCGCATGGCAGCGCACGAACTCGAGCCCAAACGGGCTCGGAAACACCCTAGGCTGTGCGATTGGCGGCCACTGTGGCGGTGTCCAACAACACCCGTCGAGAGCGCCCTTCCCCAGACCATCATCCTTCCTCCCCTTCCTATATCCAGCCCCCCCAAAAATCAATTACCTTCCTCCGTTCCCCCCGCCCCTCCATGCGGCGTACCCCTCCACGCGTTGAATTGCTCCCGCGGGCAGCGCCATTCCAATCTGAACCTTGGTCGCGTTCACCCCCCGCACCCCTTCCAGACGCAGCGACAACTCCTCGTCCTCCTACGAACCCGCGTTTGCACCGCTAGCCGAGCGAGCGATCAGTGGACGCATGTCTGTCTGCCAGGGGGGAGGATGAGAGGAGGCGGAGGATGAGAAGGAAGAGGAGGAGGAGGAGGAGGAGAATATGAAGGAGGAGACGGAGGAGGAGGAGGAGGATAAGGAGGAGGATCGAGAATCTCGAGGAGGAGTAGGAGGCCGAGAAAGACGGGAAGAACTGGCGGGCTGGCCGCACTGGCTGGGCAGTGAAAGAATTGGCTGGCTGGCTGCACTGGCTGGCTGGCTGCGTGCCAGCGGGAGTGGCAGGAACTCACTTGGACTCAACGTCGGCACGCTCGATGACTTCAAACACCTCAATCGGATCATCAGTGTCGGAGGTGGCGCTGTAGTCGGTCCAGCCGAATGGCACCCACGTAGCGGGATCATTGACGTCGAACGCGTTCCAGACCGTCGGCGAGATCCACTTAGATTCGTCTTTTGGCTTCCAGCCGTACTGAACCCACATGGCTTCGTCATTTGCATCCCACGGCAGCTGGCCACCGTGATCGATGTTCTGCTTCGTGAGCTGCTTGTCGTACTGCTGGGTGAGCTGCGCAATCTTGTTGAGCGAATCGCACTTTGTTGCGGTATTCTCCTTCGTGCTGTCCATCTTCACGTTGGAGTTGTCGAGCAGGAGGCCCTTGATCTTCTGCAGCTCCATCGTGACCAGGTCGATCCTCGAGTCGTGATACTGGAGGGTCAGCAAATTGGCCGTTCGCTGCTCCTCTGAGCTGCCAGGGCTGTGCGTCACGTGCTTGGTGTGAGCGATGGCCTTGGTGACTTTCATCTTCTGGGCGTGCATCGCCTTGACCAGCTCCGTGATCTTGGTGGCCTGCGTTTCCATTTCGTCGGCGAAGCTGGTGGTCGTGATCAGTGCGATCTCGCCGCAGCTGATCGGTGATGTTGCCATGGCTGGTACACTGCACTGGTGTCGGTAACCTCCTGAGGGGTAGGTCGTGACTGCTGGCACAGTTGAACCTATGGAAATGGCTACGTATGAAGACGAGTGCCTATGTGCCTGTGTCGTTGCCTTAGCCGTCGTTTCCTCAGTAGCATCGTGCCCCGTGATCCTGACCGTTGTTTCCAGGAAGGAGGAGGAGGAGGAGGAGGAAAAGGAGGAGGGGGAGGAGGAGGAGGAGGACAATATGGAGAGATGCGGGACTACCTGGAAGGATTCCCTGAACGGATTACTTGGAAAGAATACTTGATTACTTGTGAGCTCTCTCCACATTATTGCACCCTCACTCTAAACATAACTGCCACTGCGATGCCACAGTACCAGAAGACCCCGAAGCCAACACCCCGACTGGCCCACAAGGGCGCCGCACGGTCCCAGGACTCAGGGGGCGACAAGCTGTTTAGGGGTGTTTCCCCCAAGCTGGCCACCCTGACAATCAAATGTGTCAGAGGCGCCACTCAATGCACCACGCGCCTCGCGTCTGCGCGCCCAAAGTGTAACCCCATATCCCGTGTCATATCCCCCTTTAACGCATCTGTGTTTTTGCGATAGTGACCCTTTTCCTACTTAACTTAACTTACTTATTGTTCACTGTCTCGTTTACGCGTCTTTTGTGACAAATTACATATTCGAACTGAGCACATGACCCGAACGTATTCTGGAACCTGGTAAAATTTGGTCGTATCCTGGAACCAGGTAAGTTGGTCCTATCCTGGGCCTGGAACTAGACTCCTGGCATCGCTATTTGCTTCCACGAGCTCTGCCGCAGCGACCGTCATTGAGCCTCACTGCACACAGTGAGCACCAGTGAGCCTGGCATCGCTTTCAGTAGGGTACTGCGCGTGCTCATCGAATGCTCGCTGGAAACAATGAGCCTCGATGAACGATCATCTAACGCTCACTGGAAACAGTGAGCTTCGATGACCGCTCATCGGACGCTCGCTGGAACCAGTGAGCCTCAATGAGCTTCGCTGCTAATCAGTTCGCCAGGCTAACTTGAAATTGAAATGCTCGTGCATTTCACGGGCAAAGCGCGCGCGGATCTGCGCAACAAGCAGTAACATGACAGGCAGACAGACACATAACCATGAATGCATACGTACGTGCACACATACAGATGTATGCATACATATAGGTGTACATATATCAGTATATGTAAACGCGTATGTATGTGTATGTACTACACATACGTATACTCGTATGAGATATACATGTGCGTGTGCACAGAGAAGCGTACACACCACCACACGTGTGCAACCATCTACACATATACATACACGTGCATTGCACGTATTACCCAGTCATGATCACCTCAATGTCGAGCAGAGCCCAGATCCGTATGACGCCCCTCAAGCGGCAGCGACTCACGGGTGCAGAAACCTGATCTCCCTGCAACCATCTACGAAACGATCTTCAGCTGCTTCACGGCGGCGAACGCATTGTACATGTTGTTGCAGGCCTTCTGCGTCCCCACCAGCGACGGGCTCTCCTCTGTCTGCAAGTCCCCGAGCACGTCGCGGTTCTTGCGAACGTCCGTGAGCACCTGGCATCGGCAAGGATAGCCCCCAGTTCGTGCGCTCCTACCCCCAGGGTGTCGCGAGAATCCATGGGGCGATCCCTCTGCTCGAGCATTAGACGACATCGAATTGCGAATTGCAGGGCCGACGCACAATGGTTTAGAGTCTAACGTTTAGGGCGTAGGGCTTAGATCGTAGGGTGTAGGTTGCTGGGTGTGTGACCAGTACTTGCCCTACGCTTGCTCCTCCTTCTATGCGTGTCCCTTCTGTTCATGTACTGGTTGGGGTTGGAGGGCGTGGGGGAGGACGGGGAGCGGTGGGAAGTGGGTAGAGGATGGGTATACGCACCCCACTTGCCCATGTCATATCCATATTTCTACCTGCGCTCGTGGAGGGCGAGGCGGAGTTGGAGGGGTTTGGGGGGGGGGGCTCGTCTGAACGATGCAAGGGAGGGGGGGGGGGGGGGGCAGAGCAGGACGAGGATGCACTGGCGCCATCTTGGCCTTCTCGAGCTGGTCCTTCTTGACCTTGTTCGCAGCCTTCTTGATGTCCTGCTGAAGCTTCTCCACGAGGCCCTGGGGCGAAGGCGAAACGCACTGCGAGCGAGAGGGCCCACCCACGTGAAAGCTCGAGTAGGGGATCGATTGCACAATTGATGCGCACCGAAATTGACGCGCCCTTCGAAACTACAACAACTAAATCGGCTGGTCCGCACAACTGCGGGGCATTCCACGCTTTTTTTGTAGATCCGAAGGGCGCGTCATTGGGGTACACCAACTATGTAGTTGACCCCCTAGGCGAAACGCTGGGAAAAAAGGAACACGGGGCAACACGTGGCCGCCACGTGGGGAATGCCGAAATGGGCGACGAGGGCGCCCGTTGCATTCGTGGCGGGAATCCCGAGGAGGCGCGCGACGGTCAGCTTAGACCGCATGCGAAAAAAAAAAAACATCCACGGACACGCGCATTCCCTGAACGACTGCCAGCCAGGATGCGACATGATTGCAACTGCCATGGCGCCGTTGAGGCGAGGTACATGTTCGACATGGTGTCGACGGCGACCTGGTAGTTCATCATCTGCGGCTTGCCCATCGCAAGCACGTCCTGCCAGTCGGAGATCTTGACCGACTTGGCCTCACTGGAAAGCGGTGGCAAACGGCTCCGTGGCCCGTCCAGAAGGCCCAACCCAGTGAAGGAGGGGGCGAACAAGTGGGGGGGGGAGGTGGAGGGGGTGCGTGGGGGGCGGGCGCGGAGGAAGCAGGACGAACACACGCGTTGGAGGGAGGGCGGTGGGCGATGGCGGCATGGGGGGTGGGGGGACGCGCGGGGCGACGGGGAGTCAGGACGAAGAGGGGGGCGCGCGGGTGCACGCGCGTTGGCGCGGGGGAGTTGAGAGTACGAGGAGGTGGGGGCGAGGAAGCGGGTTGGGGCGAGTCGGAGAAGCAGGAGGAAATAATCGGAGGATGCGGAGGTGGAGAAAGATGATGACAACGACGGCGGGAAACAACCATCCGCGCCTTCGGCTTCGCTGCAACTCCGCGACCGCGACCGCGACCGCGGCCGCGATTTTGACTGCCTGTCTCCTCGGGCTCATCATCATGCTCGTCGTTGCTCTCGTAGCCCATGTTCTGGAAATCGCCTCCAGATGTTTTATATGTCGTCATCGGTCCAAGCAGCAGCGTAGCTCCTGGCGCAATTTTCTCAGGTGGTGCAACATGGCGCACCATGGTTTCCAGGGACCGATCGGTTTGCGAACGATGGGCGGGCAGTTCCCCCAGCCCAGCAGCAAAACAACGCAGCTACGCCTTCGTCAACGCTAAGCTCTGTCGCGGTCTTCTCAATACTCTCCCATCTTGCCCTCTCTCGCGTTCTCTCTCTCTCTCTCTCTCGCCCGACCACCTCCCCTCGTTCTCTCTCTCTCTCTCTCTCTCTCTCTCTCTCTCTCTCTCTCTCTCTCTCTCTCTCTCTCTATGTATCGCCCTCCGCCCCCCCCCCCATGTGCACGTATCAAGTTACACCTACATATACGCATACATGCAATTATGTTTACATATCTATGTCTAGCTATATTCATATTATCAATATCTCTATCTCTCTCTGTTTCCGATCGGGTTGTGGCTCCCAAATATCG